GAAGTAAGCTCCGCCTGAAACAACTGTTGAATTCTTTTGTTCCGACCAGAGGGAGTAGACATAAAACAAATTTTCCCAATCATTGTATCAAAAGGATGAACTATTGACAAAGAACTCTGGAATCTGGCAGAGTTCTTGAGAAGAGATATGGCTCCACGGGGAATAGCATCCATTATTATGGAGAACTCACGTGGAGTGACAGGAATATTGTATTTATTTAGAAATTCTGAATAAGAATACAAGTAACCATCAGAATTTAATAACTGAGAAACTAAGATAATATTGTTTTGGATCCAATAAGGTAAGAATAAGGATTTGTTTTTGTATAAAATATTACAATTATTCCAAATAAAATAACTGTGAGGACTAAAATTATGCTTGTAAATCAGATGCCATGCCAGAAGTACTTGTTTATGAAAGTTGGATAATTTGAGGGGCAATTTAGCGATATTATAATTACACATTAATAGAAAGGGGAAACCTCCAACCTTAGAGAAAACAATATTAGGAAGAGGGTTCCAAAATGAATCCGGATTGGATAGATACTGCTTTAACCAATTTACCTTAAAAGTGTTATTTAGAGAGCCAAAATCTAAAAAATTTAAACCACCACATTCGTATGATTTACTTTTCCCCGGCTGCACCCTGGCTTCCTGCTGGGGCGCCTGACCCACAAACCTACCCTGGTCTGACCCTCCCATCCCTCCCCTTGTTCCTGCTCCGCTTCCCCCATCCCCTAAGCAAAAGTAATGAGTTTGCTCATTTCTTCACTGATAAGATTAATAATATCAGAAAGGCAATCAGCTCATCCAATCAGTCAAGTTGTGTCGAAGTCAAACTAGCTCAACCACAACTTAAGAAATCAGACATTATGTCTGATTTCATGGCAATTAACGGCAAAATCTTAGAAGAAATTGTGCAAGTTATGAAAACATCAACCTGCAGTCTTGACACGCTCCCCACATCATTCATCAAAACGGTGTTTACCTGTTTAGAAATGGATCTTCTAAAAGTTGTAAATGCTTCACTTCTCTCGGGGATTTTTCCAACCTCACTTAAAACTGCAGTTGTTAAACCCCTCTTGAAGAAGATCAACCTGGATAACACCCTATTGAGCAATTACAGGCCAATCTCAAATCTCCCTTTCATTGGCAATATCATTGAAAAAGTTGTTTTTAACCAGGTTAACAAGTTCTTAAACTTCAGGGGGTGTTTAGACAATTTTCAATCTGGTTTCAGAGCACATCACAGTACAGAGAGCGCTCTTATAAAGATAATCAATGATATACGCCTAAATACAGATTCAGGTAAAATAACTGGTCTAGTTTGTAGAGTTATTGTTTCTGAGCCTTGTCTCTGTTTTAGTTTCTAGTTTCGTCATTTGTTTGTTACTTTGTATTTTGATCACCTTGTCTGTTGTACTGTAAATAAATATTTGCACTTGGATCCACACCTTTTTGTTTTTGTTCCTGTTTTGATCACGCTATACGTGACATCGAAAGGGAGGAGGAAAGAAATTGTTCAGCTATAAGAAATAAATAAGGTGAAACAGGGCAACCCTGACGAACTCCTCTTGACAGCTGCAATCTTGGAGAGGTGCCCCATTTAAGATTAATAGAGCAATTGGCAATATTGTAAATAGTTCTTATAAATTTACAAAATGATTCACTAAATCCAAGCTTTTAGAGAGATAAAAAAATTTATTTGTGGTTGAGAGAGTCAAATGCTTTATAGAAATCTAAGAAAAAAAGCTGTCATCATTAATAAATTCAGAATAATCTAATAAATCTAAAACAAGACGGATATTATTAACAATATGTCTTTTTGGCATAAATCCTGATTGAGTCTCATCAATAACAGAGTTTAGAACTTTTTAAAGTCTTTTAGCTAAGATACAGGCTAATATTTTATAATCATTATTGAGCAGACAGATAGGTCGCCAATTATCTATTAGAGAAAGGTCTTTTTTTGGGTTTAGGTATTAGAGTTAGCAAACCTTTTGTTAAACTTGGAGGCAAACTTTCTGACAGAACACTCTCCGAAAACATCTCTAGCAGGAATGGTGCTAATTCTCTTGCAAAACATTTGTAATATTCAGCCGTTAGGCCATCTGTGCCAGGAGATTTGTTATTTTTGAGACCTCCAATGCTGTCAATTATATCAGTAATATTTATATTTTTATCACAGGCAGATTGCTCATCATTAGAAATTAGATTAATTTCCTTTAAAGACTGAAAGAAAAAAGATGCAGATTCTTCGCAATAATTAGATTTATAGAGTTCTGAATAGAAGTTACTACAGAAAGAGGCAATTTCTTTAGGATTATTTGTTAAAATGCCATTCATTTGTAAAGAGTCAATAGTGAGAATTTTAGAATTATGTTTTTCCATTCTAAAAAAAAATAAGCAGAGCTTTGTTCACCTTGTTCTAGCCATTTCCTCCTAGAGCGGATATAGGAGCCTTTGGCTTTATACTTATAAATTTTATCTAATTTACATTGAAGTTTTGCAAGCTCTGTTAAATCAGCTTCTGTCATGTCTTCATGATTTTTCGTTTGAAGTGATATAATATTATAAATGACCTTTTCCTCTTTGTACCTCCTGCCTGACACATAATCCTATCTCGTATTTTAGTAACTCCCAATTAGATCTAATTTTTTTTGTCAGATGAAGCTTTGGTCCAGTAGAATTGAATTAAATAAGAAATTATTTTTTTCAACTCATCATGATTAAGCAGAGAAGAGTTCATTTTCCAATAAGAGGCTCTAAAATTAATGTTTGAGTGTCCTGTGGATAGAGGAATAGAAAGAAGAATAGTGTGGTGTTCTGTTAACGCTAAGGGAAGAATACTAACTGAAACATTCAAATTTTTAAAGGCATGAGGAACAAGCCAATAATCTATACAAGAAAGTCTTGATTGGTTCTTATTACGCCATGTGTAAGATTTAACATTAGGATACTTCTCCCTCCAGATATCAATTAAATCAAACTTACCCATAAACATTCTTAATTTTGAATTAGGAGAAGTAGCCTGTCTGGGAGGAAATCTATCTAGATTGTTGTCAGGGGCAATATTAAAATCTCCACCAATACAGATCAGGGCATCTGGAAGTGTATTAGACCATACCAAAATTCTTTCACCTATCTCTTCAAACAATAAATCGTTTTCTCGGGAGGTATTGTATCCACAAATGTTAACCAGTAATATAAAAACATTATTAACACAAATTAACAACACTAAAAAATGCCCCTTAGGATCAAGATATTTTTGTAGGACTGAGCCAGAAAAAGTTTTTTCATTATCATTACACCAGCAGAATGCTCAGAACCATGAGCCATCCAAACCTCATTTCCCCATTGATTTTTCCAAAAAGTAGTATCATTAAGAACAGAATGAGACTCCTATACCATAACAAGGTGCTCCATCAGAAATGACTTCCTATGCGCTTTGTCCCCAAACAAGACCACCTGCCTTTCAAATTTGAGTTGCGCTTCCGGTGAGGTGAACTTCAATAAAAAAAATAAAAAAAAACTGAAGTAAATCACTGAAATGATAACAAATAATAATAATAATAATAAAATGTACTAAAGATTTTTTAAACATTTCATTACTATAACATACTCTCATAATTCATGAAAAGCTTCATGGGGCATATGAAAAAAGTGGATGGTCGAGTATGCTAGGTAAAAAAAAACAGGTTAGGCGTACATGATGCGAGAATTTGCATAGTCTGCTTACTATATAGTTGTAAACAACAGTATGATAACAATGTCCTAATTCATTGCATTAAAAATAAAAACAGTAGTTGAGAAGTTCGCTATCACATATTATCAGCATAAAGTTTGTTTGACATTCGCAAATTTAAGAACTATCACTAAAGTCACATACAACATTGGTAGCCTATTTTCTAACTTTAATACAATTTAATATGATTACAAAACCCTCCTTAATGATCATAAGCCTAAAGCTGATTTTAGCTTGTCATCTCCCAGCTTGACCAGCAAAGACCAGCTTGGAAATGGCTGAAACCAGCCTGTAAATGGCTAAAACCACTCTAAAACCAACGAACAAGATTTTTTTCAGCAGTTCTATCCAGCTGAGTCAACCCTGGAGGGCCACTGTCCTGAGTTTAGCTCTAAGGCTCTACACCTGCCTTGAAGCTTTAAGTAGGTAAGACCTGACCTGCCTCAGATGTATGTTGATGTACCAGACCTGTGGCTCAGTGTAGTTTGACCACTGGTCAAAATGCAGTTTCAACAAGTCTGTGCAACAAGTGCAATTGTGACCTTCCTATTTTCCTATTGCGCATACACACTGTGACGTAAATAAACTCATTTGGCTTTTTTTTTTTTTTTAAATGCCATATGACTCCTTTTTTATTTGCCTCTGTTGCAATGGGTTTGGTTGGTCGAAAAAATTGCATAAAAATGTATTTTATCTTTTAAAATATATTAAAAATATATTTAATTGAGTCATCATGCTTTATTAAATACATGTATGTGCACCTTTACTTTTTTCATTTTTCATACTTTTTTCATTATTAATAATTTCTTAAACCAAAGATAAGAAATTAAAGCGTAAAGTGTTACCAGTTACATACCGTACATCAAAGGTGTCCAAACTCAGTCCTGAAGGGCCGGTGTCCTGTACAGTTTATCTCCAACGTCCTACAACACACCTGCCTGGAAGTTTCTAGTTAACCAAGAATAAGCTTGATTAGCTGGTTCAGGTGTGTTTAATTGTAGTTGGAACTAAAATATGCAGGACTACTGTCCTCCAGGAAAGAGTTTGGGCACCCTTGCTGTACATAATGTAACATAATAATTCAAAACTTAATTTTACAGTCTATGCTTATTATTTATATGATTTCTTTTCAGATTAAAAGGTATTAAATCTAGTTTCGAATGGTTTGAATAAAATGTACTACAAGAATTATTAGGCATATTTGACCTTTTCACTAGCATCAGCTCACCAGCAGAGGGAAGAAAGACACTACATCATTGAGAAAGAACTTGGGACTTAAATGTTTATTAAATGTGATAGTACATTGCCATGGCAGTTTACAAAAATCAATCACAGGATATCTCTTATTCCAAAGTTGAAAATGACTCTGTATTTTATTTTGCTCCACACCTAGGCACACTCAAACCTAGGCACTCATTCACCCAGGCACATACACACCCATAAACAGTGTAATGTAGCATGTAAATGTTGCATGTAAAGTAGATTATTTCATAATACAGATTAACCTTAAATAGTTACAAAAAAAAAGTAAGAAAAGAAAATCAATATAAATATTTAAAGTTAAAGGGATAACTTACAAATACACAAATAAAAAGGTTCTCAGAATTTTTTTTTTACTATAAAGTGTTTCCAAACCTTTATGTTTTTTACGCTGTTGATCACAAAATTTTTATCCAACAACTATGGAAGTCAATGTTTTCCAGTTTTCAACATATCTTCCTTTACTCAGCAAAAAATAAAAAATAAAAAATAAATAAATAAATAAATAAATAAATAAATAAAAAATTGAACATGTGTGACAAGTAAAGGGTGAGTAAAAGATGACAAAATTGTAATGTTCAGGTGAAATGTGTGTTTGTGTAGCATCTATAAACTTTAGCTGGGGACATTTGAGGACAAAATCATAAATAAAATAAATTGTTACCCTTAAAAAATGAAAACAGTGTTTAGTGTTAGTCTAATGTAAATGTAATAATGTTAAAAAATAAAACCAAAATACATAAATAATACAGTGATTATTACACACTATCCTGCATGTTTTTGTGTACATGTTGATCTCATTTATCATAAAGATTTTCTGATCAGAGACTGTTTGTGGCGTCTGTTATCAGTAAAAGCTCTGAAATGTTTGTCGTTGTCTGAACATTTGTGTTCGTGCAAGTGTCAGCTATCAGTACATCTGAATACGTGACTGTGTCAATCAAAAGTCATCCTTTGACATGTGCGCAGTTACTGGGTGTAAAGGGCTCAGAGGGGAGAATAACATTGCGTCTTCATTGGTGCAAGATGGACACTTTAAAAGCTGACAGTTAAGTCTGACTGATAATTTATTTGTGATCTTTGTGCTTTTTCTGCTGGTACTTCCTGTACTGGTTTTGAATTGTAGCCGCCGCCTTTTCAGCAGAGGATCCAGTGTGTCCATTACTGGAAGAAGAGTCTAAAAATAACACAAAAAATTATTAGCATTTAGGGAATACATTAACTGTCCTTTGGCTTAGTCCCTTTATTCATCAGGGGTTACCACAGCGGAATGAACCGCAAACTTGTTCAGCAAATATTTTCACTTTATCATTTAATATACTCACTCTTTCTGTAAACTCCAATGCTGTTTCTTCGCTGTCCCTCGAACTACAAAGCAAAAAAAAAAAAACACACACACACAAAAGCTGTAAACAAATATATTTTTTGTCACTAACATGTATGGTTACAAAGTAATAATAAGCTATTTGTAGGCTGAGCAAAAAAATTAAGAAGTTACAACAAAATTTATTTATTTATTTACAAAGCACTTCACATGTCATAGAAAAGATTGAAAGTCTTACAAATTTCAATTCCTAAATCTTTCTTAATACATAAGAAATAATTCTGAAGGGTTCTGTCGTATCTCAGCAACCAAACCAGAAGTGGGATTCTGAGAAATTACATTTCTGTGATTGATTTGTTTATTTGAGCATCCTGAACAGCTTTTCAGACAATACAACATCAGGGAGGGGATTGTCTGAGTTTGAAAACTGTTCAATGAGTATTAGAAAAGTAGGTAACACTTTAGAATAACTATGTAAAGTTATAACTAGTTAATAGACCATTTATAAACTGGTAGTTAACAAGTTATAAATGACTTGTTAAATAAAAGTTAATAGTTTGTTAATTATTTATAACTGTGCCTTATAGATGGCTAATGGATAACTTACAAGCTGTTAGTTAACAAGTTGTAAATGACTTCTTAACTGTATTTTAATGATTTATAACTATACCTAATAAATTAGTAATAGATCATGAACAAGCCGTTAGTAAATAACTTAATAAAGACTTGTTAAGTATCAGTTAATAGTGTATATATGTTATTTGGACGTTATTCTAAAGTTGCAGCTGTTTTTAATTTATTAACTGTTAGTAAATAAGGAATAGTTGCAAGTTTAGAATAACGTCCCAATAACATACATAAGCTAATAACTAATGCTTAACTAACATATTTACTCACACTTTACTGATCAGTTGTTCACCATCTAATAACACCAGTGAAACTTTGTAGAACTTTAATAAAATGCATCTTTATTTATTTTGTTTTCATGTTTAGCACTTCATGGGTTTGTATTATTGTATACTGCGGTACTGCCATGTGATGGTTCAGTATGTGTGTTTCTATACATTAAACACAACGTTCAACATTTCATCCGTGGGGTTTCTTTGGTAAAACACAGCACACAGAAAAGCCTATGACTGGAACAAGGTTAAGATACAAACATTTTATATTTTAATTATCACATCAAATTCCTGTAGCTTGAACTTGTTCCATCCATTTGCTGTTCTACAAAGTTTCACTGGTATTAGTAGATGGTTAACAAACGATAAACAACTGATCTGTAAAGTGTGAGTAAATATATTAGTTAAGCGTTAGTTATTAACTTAAGCATGTTATTGGGACGTTATTCTAAAGTTGCAACTATTCCTCATTTACTAATAGTTAATAAATAAAAAATAGCTGCAACTTTAGAATAACGTCCCAATAACAATATATACACTACTGATACTTAACAAGTCTTTATTAAGTTATTTACTAACCGCTTGTTCATGATCTATTACTAATTTATTAGGTATAGTTATAAATCATTAAAATACAGTTAAGAAGTCATTTATTACTTGTTAACTAACAGCTTGTAAGCTATCTATTAGCCATCTATAAGGCACATTTATAAATAATTAACAAACTATTAACTTCTATTTAGGTCATTTAAAACTTGTTAACAAACAGTTTATTAATGGTCTATTAACTAGTTATAACGGATAGATATTCTAAAGTGTTATCAAAAAGTATTTTTTTAAATGTAAAAACTGCATCCATTCATATAATGTAACTGAATATTGTCCAGTATAAATCATACACTGTAAAAAAAAAAAAAAAAAACATAAAACAACGGCCATAAAATTACAGACATTTACCAGAAATTTAAACATAAGGAAATTTCTTTAACTCAACGTCAGTTATTTTTTTAGTAAATGTCTGTAAATCAACAACTGTTATTTTACGTTTCTTTACTCTACACCCCAGCTGCCGGAAAAAAACAAAAAACAAATGTAAAATAACAGATTTTTTTTACAGTGTATACACATAATTATTACTGAATTCAACTTAGACATGTGTAGAACTAAAATTGGAAAACAGCACTAGACATTAACTTAAGAATTTTGTGTTAAACTAACTATTCCGATATTTCTTCTTGCCCCTGTCTTACTTTGGTTAATATCTCAAGGTCAAACTAAATAAATAAATAAAAATGTCCAATAAACTGAAAAAAAAAGATTTTTGCAAAATTGTTGGCAACAATTTATATGGGTTGAATTTAAGCAAACAAATTAAATGGAGGAAATTTTATTTAGGAATGGTCAACAAAATTAGTTTGTTTAAATTCAGCGCAAGGAAATTGTTTACAACCACTTAACGTAAAAAAAAAAAATACAATTAGTAAATCCAAGGAATCATCTTTAAATAATTTTTTAGTGTATGTTTCTTAGAATTAAATAAGATCTTGCAGGAAAATTAATCTATGTTCTATAGAGTATTGTAAGAATTAAAAATCTGACAACATGATGCTGAGAAAATGATAAGAACCTTAATTTATGGATGAACTGTCCCTCTGGCAAGTTCAGAAATTCACACCATCTCAAAAATGCTTTTACACTCTTGTTTACGTCACTGCTTTACAGGAGAGCGCATCCTCATGTCCTTGAACACTCAAAAGCATCAGCCATGCAGGTATAATCACACGTGTAGCCTCTCTGTCTTTCCTGCAGGAATGTGCGAGACATGGTGGCAGAGACATATCACTCAGGTGCGAGACGTCTCTGGCGCGACATTCCACACATTCTACTTCAGCTTGATACTGTGCTACGCAATGTGTTCAAGCCGCTGAGGTCATGTCATGGTCCTTATGGGCACTCTATTCCATGCAGCACCAATTATTTTCACTCAAATGAAATGTAGCTTTTTTTTAAATGTTACAAGAAATGTGCATAATAGTGTCTGAGAGTATTTATTGAACACTATTTACTGGCTGATTTCTCTTCAAAAGCATTGCATGACCACTAAATATCCTTTTAAAAGTCACTGTGGCCATTATATAACGCTACATTTGAAAGGAGCTAAAAGTCAAGGCATGGTCAAGTATGATGACCTATACTTGGAATTTGTCCTCTGTGTTTAACCCATTGAATTTTACACAAACACACACCATGAACACATGGAGCAGTATACCCAGCCTAATCTCACGAAAAAAACATAAACTTAAGGCTAATTCATATGAATTCAGTTCAGTCGTACAAAATTGTTCAATTTTAAAAAAAAGGCGTGGCACCTAACCCCATCCCTAAACCCAACCGTCATTAGGCGATGAGCAAATCATACTAAACTGTACGAATTATATCTTAGAAACTCATATGAATAAGGCACTGAATCAAAAAAAAGTTACAAATTAGTTACAAAATAGTTACAAATTACTGTGAGATTGTTTTGGTATACCGTAGGCCACGATTGTCAAACAGGTGTTTAGCTTTAGTCCTAATTATACACACCTGATCAAATTAATTGAGTCATTCAGGTTTATTTGAAACCTACAGGTAAGTGTGTTGAAGTAGTGTTGGAACTAAAAAAGCAGCCCTCAAGAAATTAATTTTAAGACCCCTGCTGTAGGCAGTCGTTGTGGTGCCCGTGTGCAGTGGGGGGTTCAGTGTCTTGCTCAAGGGTTTCGCATCAACTGTATATATGGTTTAGACCAGGGGTGCTTAATCCTGTTCCTGGAGATCTACCTTGCTGCAGATTTCAGTTGCTACCCATATCAAACACACCTGCCTGTAATTATCAAGTGCTGTTCAGGTCCTAATTAATTGGTTCAGGTGTGTTTGATATGGGTAGCAACTGAAATCTGCAGGAAGGTAGATCTCCAGGAACAGGATTGAGTGTAATGTTTGTGTTTAACTCTAAACCAATGATGTTATACAAGCAGGACATTCCATGTTCCTATTGGCTATAATGAGCGTCAGTCAAATTCATCAAGGAAATGATAAAGAGAAATAGAAAAATTGCGATGCTGTAAGAGAGCGCTATGTTCTGAGTTAAGTTGATATTAAAAAAACAAACATTGTTAAAAGCCAGCCTGTGAGTGGTCTAATAATCAACTTACACAACTTGGTGTCAGAATAAACGGATGACAAACGAAGATGAATTGAGCAGGAGTCCCGATGCCCGATCGTATCGTCTTCGGGATATATTCACCAAAAGTGAGAGAGAAGCTTTTGAATGTGTGCTCTGAATTAACCCTTGATAGAGCAATAGACGTTGCTAGATCTCATGAGCTGGCCCAAGCACAGTTAAAAAAAATCTCAAGCAGTATGAGAGCTTCACGTGAGCATGTACACACAGTATTCCGTAATGCATCAAAAGGCTCAGTTGCCAAGCAACGAAATGCCAAATACACAAAGAAATACAATGATGGACAGCAATCTAAAAATGCAGGGTCAATACAATCCAAAGGATGTCGCTTTTGTGGCAACAAACGTCATGTGGATCGCTCCCTGTGTCCTGCAAGAGGAAAAGTTTGCAAAATATGTGGCAAGTTAAACCATTTTGCAAAAGTATGTTACTGTAATAGCGAGAAAAGCATACATGCAATAAGTTAAGAAAATTCAGACTTAGCAGAGGAGTGTGATGAGCTGTTTATTGACTCAGTGACACAGCATAAACACAGTTCGGAAATGAAACAAGCCTTTGTGAATATTAAAATAGGACCAAAACAACAAGAGATTAGGTTTAAGCTGGACACAGGATCCTCAGCCAATGTCATACCACTGTATGAGTATGTTAAACTGGATGTACAGCACAATCTGCAGTCAACATTTTGCCCCCTTTATGGTTATGGAGGTGGACGCCAGGTGGTAAAAGGCAAGTCTGACCTGAAATGCAAGTGCAAAGACATTGATATGGACTTGGCATTCTATGTTGTTGACACAAACGCACCCCCTGTCATAGGGTTAAAAGGATGCATAGACTTTGGCCTCATTGAAATGGTACCATCAGTTACAGGAACAAAGACAGAGGTGCCAGTTAAGGAGGAGTTTGCAGATGTCTCCAAGGG